CTTCTGGGGGTGGAAGCTCTCTTGCAGCCCCCCAATTGCCCCCTCTCCCCAGATGGCAGCCTGCGGCAAGTGCAGCCGGTTTGATGGCCGAGTGCTGTGATGTGCCCAGTGTGGGCACCCAGGGCACTCCAAGCCAGGACTGCTTTGCAAGCAGGGCACCCCTGAGAACTGTCTGTCCGGGGTCGGGGTCGGGTCCCTTTAAGCACAGCCCTTGGCTAGCCTGAGGGAGCAGCTCCACGCTCTATGTCCTCATCTGATGCCCTGCCGGCACTGCTTCCGGCCATCCTTAACCCCAGTTCAGGGTCCACTTAATGTGGACATGCTAGTTCGAATTAGCAAAACGCTAATTCGAACTAGTTTTTTAGTCTGGATGCGTTAGTTCGAATTAGCGCTGTAGTTTAGACATACCCCTGCTCCCAACTGACGTTTCTGTGGGTCAGTGACCCATGACTCAAGACCGGTTCCCTGCCCTTCTGGTAAATAAAGATAATGCAGAAACTTTGGGTTTGACAGAGTATTTTATTTAAAAATGAAGCCTGGCCAACAAATCCCCAATTGGGGCCAAGCCCCCATCTGGCCACAGCCATTCCTGCACTCCGCCTTGCCCCACAACCTATATCTGTACACTGGAACCCCCTGCCCTGAGCCCCTCACATACCCCAACCCAAATTCCTGCACCCTCACATCCACAAACCAGTGGCTTGCTTAGTACCCCAACACTGCCCGGCCTGGAGTCCCCTCCCCGAGCCAGCATCCACTTCTCCACCTCCTCCTGCATCCAGATTTCCTCCTGAAGTTTGCACTTCTCACCCCTTCACACACCCAAATCCCTCATTCCCATCCCAGAGCCTACATATCCTGTCCTCAACCCAGCAAGGGTATGGCTAGACTGCAGGAGTTTTTCAGGATTCTGGAGATATCCCAGAAAAACTCTTTTGCATCCAGTGATGCGTTTGTTCTTCTGCTTTTTTTAGCTGAAAAGCAAACATGATCTTTCTGTCACCCCTATATTCCTCTTTCCACAAGGAATAAGGGGGCTTCCAAAAGAAGGGGTTTTTCTGACATTTGGTGCAGTCTAGACAGGCCAAATTGTGGGAAAACCTCTTCCTACAGAAGAATTGGGGGGGACGACAGCAGTATAAGGATTGGGGATTGCAAGTGATGGAGAGGAGAATAGAGAGGGCGGGGCTTCAAGGAAGGGGTGGGGTGGTAGGTCTTGGCTTGGTCTGTCATTTAAAAAGTGATCTTGTGTGTAGAAAGGTTGGAGACCACTAGAGTAGCGGGAGCACCAGAAGGGTGAAAATCAGGGCGACCCTAGAACTCTGTTACAGACCAGCTGGAGGCTGCTGGAGGGGGGGGAAAGGTAGGAGAGGAAGGGACTTGTGCTGAGGGGAGAGGGGCAGGTCAGAAGAAAGGGGAAGGCACCAAGGGACAGGGTGGAGAAGAGAGACAAATGCCAGGGGGCCAAGTGGAGACAATGAGAAAAAGAGCAGGTGGTGAGGTGTCAGTGAGGGAGAGGGGGGACAGGATAATGCTGGGAGAGGAGAGGGGAAGGGCTTTGGAGGCTAGAAGGGAGAAGGGGAGGTGCCGGGAGAAGGCTTGAAAGAAGGGATGAGCATGAGGAAAGCGGGGATGGAGCAAGGCACGTGTGAGGGCACAGGGGCATGAAGGGAACGGGGGCAGAGAGTAGTGAGGGGGTGGGCATCAGAGAAAAAGGGGGTAGAGGCAGTGAGGGAAGGGGGAGGCACCAGGAGGGTGCAGGGCTAAGGGAAGATGCAAGTGCCAGGGGATTCTGGAGGTGAAGCAGAAGAGCAGACACCTGCAGAGGAGGGACCAGCACCAGAGGAGAGAGGCAGGGCAGGTGTATAGAGGGAGGTGTTAGAAGAGAGGATGAGGAGGGGTAGCTGACAAGATCAGAGTGGGGCTCCTGGAGGAGTGGGCATGGGGGGGGGGGGGTTGAAGGGCTGGTGGAGGGGGGCAGGTCTTGGGAATGCTGAGGGCTGTGAGAAGGGCAGGAGTCAGGACAGCAGAGGTGGGTGAGGAGTTGGGGGAAGGGGGGGCAGCAGGCACCAGGGGAGCTGATGGAGCAAGGGGAGGAGACAGGGCAGCAGAGGGAAAAGATAGAGGTTTATAAGATATTTATTAATAACTTGGGTGCCACAGTGGCACATCCAAACAAGCCACGTGAAGTCAGTACTGGTGCACAACACAAAATTTATTCTGCTCATGGGAGGAAACTCTTAGAGGGGACACTTCCCCCAGCCTCTCTGCCCTCTGAGTTAATGTCACACACATTGGG